ACGAACATTTTTATCATCGTAACAAATAGCTTTGAACATCAACTAATACATAATCTATCCTATTTAACAATCTAACCTTAACTATTCTAACCAAACGACGTTGCAAACATCCAACAAATCATCAAAACGTCATCAACATGGTCCCAGAAAGATACCACCAGGATACAAACTATGGAATCACAATAATAACGCATCACACAATCCTAACGAAGCATGCAAAATTTTTGACAAGTGAACTAATTCATCAAAGAACAGCACTACAGATCCATGACACATAAAACTACCACCGACGACGCATCAGCGTAATAAGCAAGGCAAAAAAGAAAACCAACTTGAAATTTGACCCGGAATATCATACGCCTCAAGAAAGTTCATAAACATTTAGGAACAAAAAGAAACTCAAAGTATTATACAAAAAATATGAATGAGATTATGAACAAAAATAACGGAATGAAAAAAAAAAAAAAAAAAAACAAATACGCGCCTGAAGCAGAATTCGACACCAATGACAAACGTAAAAAAAAAAGGTGCCGAAATGGACAAAATCAACAAAAAAAACCGTGCTAACCAAACACAAGCGAACACCAATGAAAAAGCCTAAAATGGACTTAAAGAAAAATAAATACAGTATTGTTAGTGCAAGAACTAAACTGTATAAAACAAACAGATATACATAGACACTCTATGACAAACAAGAGCGATTCCAGTGAATTGCGACACCAACAACACCAACGACGCAAGAAACCAACCCCCGGTGAAAGAGAAACACTGGACTTAACGATACCAATGATGCAAAGCACCAAAAAATGAAAAAAAAAACACCGAACAGGATGACACCAACAATGCAAGGCACTAACCAGCAAAAGAAGCACCAACTGGATAACACCGACAATGCAAGAAAAGGCACCAACCGACTGCAAGAAAAAACACTAGCTGACAAAAGAAGACGATGAATCTACTATTTAAAAAGAAAGAAATAAATAAAAAAATAAATACTAATATACAGATATATAAAAATATGACAAAAGCAAAAAAAAAAAATCGAATAACTTATATCTTTTTATATCAGCCCTGTGTAACCGGTGATGATCACTGATGTAATATTGTATACAAGGTTATGTCGATCACTAAATTGAAAAAACTTAAGTGCAAATTTTAATTTACTTTATATTCAATATTTAAATGTACCCATATATCTAAAATTTTGTACTGAAAACTTTTGCTTAGAAGTCAAACTACGGTTATTATAGTAAAATCTTGAGTTATTTGCGATTTTTTTATTTTCTTAGATAACTCAAAATTTTACTATAATAACCGTGTAGTTTGACTTCTAAGCAAAAGTTTTTAGCACGAAATTTTAGATATATGGGTACACTTGAATATTAAATATAAAGTAAATTAAAATTTGCACTTAAGTTTTTTCGATTTGGTAATCGACATAACCTTGTATACATTTACGATGTGCTAATTTAAAATCAGGTGAATAATCAATATGCGATTGAAAAAAATTTTACGTAGGCTCTCGTCTGTGCCTTTTTCTTCCTTTATTGTCGCATTAACTTCTACTAATATCTACACTTGGGGGAGTAATTCCTTTCTTTTTTTCGGTACATCTGTATTTGTGCCTTATTCTAAATTATTTTAAAATGAAGAGGTTTAGAAAGTGAGGTTTATCTTCTAATGCCTCTTCAATGTGGTTAATTTTTTCTTAATGAGTAGCTAAAGAAGTTGGTGGTTGAGAAGTTTGATAATCCTTATTTGGTGCTATAGTAGGTTGACTAGGAGTTAGTTCTTTTTCAGATTTAGAGGTAGTGGTTGATGAAGAACCTGTTTTTGATAATTTTCTAATGCTTTTTTTACTTCATAATCAATTAGTGCCTGGCAAATGTCCTTTAAATTACCTTCTATAATAAAATTTAGTCGGTTTCAACTAGTTCTACCTGGTGGTCAGTAATTCGATTATGGGGTCAATTATAGATCCTAATTTTTTTTGGCTCTTTCTGAAATACCAATGGCTGAAGAGCACAAATTTATCGGCATCAGATATGGTTATCATATATTTTTTATCTTTTTGGTCTTTTACTTTGATATTTTCAAATTTTTTCTTTAATTCTATCTTACTATTCATATTTATAATTTTATATTAACTTATTTACTTTGATTTACTGATTTAATATTTTGTTTGGAACTCTTTTAGCCAGAATACTCATTTTTTTCCAGTTTGAAGATTCATTCCCATACATTCATCCTATCGACTCAAAACATTTAGGTATTGGCATGTCTTCTATAAGTCAGGTTTTTGTATTGAAAACCACATTATGAATGAAAGGTTTAAGGAAAGAAAAACTTGACTGGTACTTGTTTGAGATTGGGACGTAACATTAGTCTTAAAGGGCTATACACCAACTTGGATATGCACAAAAAGGCAATATTTCATATATTTATACATATTTTCAATTTTATAAAAGACTCTTTCGTATTAATAGCTTCTAATCCAGGTTTTTTCATATTAATAATATCCAATTTAGGGTTTTTTCACTATTAATTTCTGAATCGGTTATAATCACCTCAGACAAGTCAGGTAACTCAAAAGTATTTGTGGATGATAAAAATTCTAGAGAACCTTTAATTGTTAGATCTACTGTTTTGCTTCGATTTTTGTTGATAACACATTTTTGACAAATATTAATTAAGTCTTGATTTTTTGGAATTTCGACTTTAATCTAATCGACGAATTCTTGATCATATCTGACTCTTTTAATATTAGCACCTATTCGTGTAATATATTTATTACATAGAAGCTAATTTGATATCCAGAGCCTTTTTATATTCTTGTCAAGTTTTATTAGTTGACAAGAACAGTCTTTCCCATAAACTTTCATACACACCAAGCATATTAGGCAAACGTTCAATGATAAGTGTAAGAGAATTCATATCTTTCTACATATATGTTACTTACTCAAAATTAATGGAAACATAGTAGCTTTAAATACATTATTTAAGACTTTTAGTAGCTTCTGTAAATTAAAGTATTATTTATTATTCAACGATGTAATTTAGATATTATATTAATATTACAGTAAATAAAAATTGAACGAAATATTTTTATATATCGATCATGCCGAAAAAGTAATTTGAAAATGATACTGGATTTAAAATTCGGGTTGGCGAGTTATGGGTGATATGAAAACCGAAAATATAACTTATTTGCATGTATGCAAACTATTTCGAAATTTTTTACTTAATATAAAAAAAGCCATAATATTACGTAAGAAATTTCGAAATATTCTGAAATATCTTATATAATATTTCATAATTTGATATTTTGCAATATTTCGAAATTTCTTATGTAATATTACGGCTTTTTTACGTTTCGTAAATTATTACGAAATATTATAGTCTTATAAATTTGCTGATATAGGATTAAATAGCCAAATTCCTCTAGCCTTAAAAGAATTGCATATTGCAGTAGATGTATAGGTTGTAATGTAAGATGTTTCTAAAATTTCAGTGAATATGTACTTAGTTACATATTTGCCACTATTAATGCGAAACCTTTCACATTCTTTATTGTATGCTTTTTTTAGAGTAGTGAATGGTAATTCAGCTAGCTGCAAAATATAAGTTGTATAAGAAGGGAGACAATAGAGGAGAATATCATTATCATAACAGAAGTTAACACTAGTGTAGTTGACATGGCTTTTATGACCATCTAAAATTAGCAGGACAGGACACATAGAAGGGATAGAACTAATAAAATGCTCTATATATTTTTGAAATAGGCTTTCCTGCATATATCCTGTCTCAGTAAATCCCATAACAAAACTAGCAAATGTGCTATCTAAAAGACTAGGAATCATTTGTTTCTTTTTAAAAATAAGTAATAGTGGGATATATGTCCTGGTAGCTGAGATAGTCGGGCATACAGAAATATGCTTGTGAAAGCTGCCAAATGAAACCTGATGAAACCTGATGAACCTAGTGTGCTCCCTTTTTTGTAACGATTTTTTGGAACCTGGGTTCAATAATAAACCCCATTTCATCCTAAGAAAAAAAAAATAAAAAAAATAAAAAAAATAAAAGCATAAAAGAATAAAAGTAAAGTAGTTAAAAAAAAAATTAAACACAAAACAAAAAAATTGAATAAAATAAAAATTAAAAAAAAAAAAATTAAAAAAAAATTTTAAATAAAACAGAACTATATTCCAAATTTTGTCAGCAGTAAGTGAATGATCTTTGATAATTTTTTTGAGTTTGTTAAGTGATTATTAACTATAATGAGATTCGCTTTTTGCGCACGAGCTTCATTTAGAGCTTGCGGAATATGAAATAAAAGCTCTGGATAGTTTTTCATAAAGTATTGCCACCATTTTTTGCTCTGGCTCATTTTTATCAAAAGAATTAGATTGCTTGTTTTTACGAATAATATTCAGCACGTGCTGATTTATACCAGATCTTGTTAATCCAAAACCTAGCCTTTGTATATTTAAACAAAAACCAATCAGCTGTTCTTCTTCATGGTTGGTTAGAATCTTAGTATGGCCTAGGCGGGTGGAAGAGCCATCATTTTTGATAGCACGTCTAAGGGTAGCTTCCGACAGACCATAGTCCCATACAATACTTCTAGTGCTTGGAATTTTGGAATCACTTGGGGTTTCTTTAACTACTTTAAGAGCATTAGTTATGCCAATATGTCGGGCATTATAATCGCTATACTTTGGCATTTTAAAGAATACTATATTAAACTATTTTTATTCACTTTATTGCAATAAAATTTAATTGTTTATAACTATTAGGTGTAAACACTTTATTATATTTAACAAGACATTTTAAAATATTATATAAACTGATTGTAAATATTTACATGATCAAAAACTATTTATTTTAGCTAAAATTTAATTTCGCATTTTTTTCATATATTAATAGGTTTACACGACTTGATTTAAATTTTTATTATTTTTTTTTTAATATTGAGGTGACCACTTTAGGCCCCTGGCACTTTATTAGTTCAAATGAGTGGGCCGTCCGAAGACTGGCTTACATATTACATCAGTATAACGAGAGTACAACTAGTCACACGTACAACTTTTGGT